TCTCTCTCTCTCTCTCTCTCTCTCTCTCTCTCTCTCTCTCTCTCTCTCTCTCTCTCTCTGTGTGTGTGTGTGTGTGTGTGTGTGTGTGTGTGTGTGTGTGTGTGTGTCTGTGTCTGTGTGTGTGTGCCGCTGTGTGGCAGCCACACACCTCTTGCTTCTTCCTACCCTTTCCACAGTCTTTCCACGCGCTCTGTGTCTGGTATGCTTTCGGGCAGCATAAGCAACATGGTGACCTGCCCAGCCTATGGCCAAATGGTGCACACATCAAATTTATGTGTTCAAATCCTGACGGAATCTAATGAATACACTAATGTTAGGGCCGGATTAAAAAAAAAAGGGGCTTACCGCCTCGAGGGAAAAGATGCGACATTGTCACGAGTGGCATCAGGGAATGAAGGAAAGCAAGGTCTTCAAGTTTGTTTGGACGAAAAGGGAACAAGCCTGTTCGTCGGGATTAAGACCGCTACTAGTGGTCGTTTGTTTTGCATCAGTAAGGATATGACAACTCCTGTTCAGAAGAACATGCCCGCCTTGAAAAAGTCCCTCGTTTTTTCGCTGCTTTTTGGTCCTCTTTTTTCAATAAGAGAACAAGTCCTTATGGGCCTGGCTCCATATAGATGGAGCAGCCCTACAGATAAGCCCTCAATTCTGACGGTTCTCTTTTTTTTTTTTTTTTTTTTTTTACCACCGCCAGGATAGAGGGATATAGCATATGGGCTATTCTTGGAAAAAAAATATTTAAAAAAATATTAAAAATCAGTTCTGGGGAGCAGGAATCCGGTTCCTTTTCCGATGGCAAGACAAAGGTCTTACAACTCAACTCAGGGCATACTCACACTAGCACCTTTTTACTTATCTCTGGACGGAATTGCGGCCAGATGCTTACCGGTCCTGTCGTAAATGTGGTCAGAGACATTGAGATAATGCTAGTGTGAGTATGGCCTGGCTTGCGCTTCCTTCAGGTTCCTTCTTCCTGCCAAGTCAATATTTCACAATTCCCCACCCACTCGCACGTCCTTCCGTCTGCCCGAAGGACCCCTAGACAGCCGTGATTACTCCCTAAGAGGGGTCCTTCGGGGATATCCTCCTACCATATGCGTGCTTGCAAATTCCAGACCTTATGCATGCCTTAATCCAGGCCTACACTGAGGGCCTCCATTGTGAAAATTGGGTGGCCCCCCCCCTCCTCGGCCCCCTCCGAATGAATGTTTTGATGAATATACTAAGGAATATATGTTTTTTTTTTTTAATTCAAGTTGCAGGGGGG